TAGTGAACTGGAAAATCACAAGATACTGAGCCAATCATCCATGAACCATGGCTTCCAGTACCTTTCAGTTACGTTACCGGAGGGTAGATTATGATCGAATTTGCAGGCTTGCAGCTGTTCAAAAAAAAATGAGAGCTGTGATGATTCCAAACCTTCCGACCATGAGCCACTTGTCCCCATCTTTGTTGCCGTTCTCCCATTCCCCCATTCATATTTCTTGATATTTCTTGTATCTCCATCAAATTCGCCTCAGTTCCAACAGAGTTCCAGATTGAGCCGAAGCTCCGGGCGTGCGGTTGGGGCTATTTCTGGATATTTTTCACCAGAGTTGTAGAGGAGTTATTTTTTTCAGGTGGCCGTTGGGGGGTTCAAATCCTACGGTTATATAATGTTATATACCCATAGAAAAATATAGAAATCACCTTGACCTTGGGTGATATCCCAAAAAATGTCCTGATTATCCAAGAAAAAATCCCAGTAAATCACCATTCAGGTCGATTTATAGGAACCCCCACAAGGTAGAACACTAATCTATCACTTTTTTTGGTCGGATTCTGCTTTTCTATCTTTGCTTGCGAGATGGTTTCCCAAAATGGTAGCCCAAAATCCATTTGAGTTTCGGGTTTTCCATGAAAACGATCCAGCTATGGGGGTACCCGGGGTACCCAGTACCATGGAACGACCCAGAGTTGTCCCCGTTGTCGGCTCTGAGGACTCAAAGTGAAACCACCTCGACTTCGACGACCTCGACAGGCAGATGCGAAACATGTTTTTTTTGAAGTACTGAACAACCCCCCAAAAAATTGGAAAGACATATCGGAGCAAAATAGGGATGAATTGTGATGAATTACTCAAAAGCTATGTGTTTTGGTGTTGTTGTTGTTGTTGTTATTATTATTATCAATATAGTGAACTAACCATTGAAATCGTACCCAAGCCTGTCTTCAACAACTGTCCTAGCTAGCTGATTTGCACACCCTTATTCATCGCATTCCAGCGAAATCATACCTAAAAGTTTCACATATTCAAAACAAGAGTTTTTCTTTCAAACGGTTGTCACCTTTATGAACACTGGAGATGGTGCCCAAAGGATTTTCAACTTCTATGAATCAAACGATTAAAACATCATATTGGATTTTGGACCAGCAAATCTAATAGAAGGTTAGGATTTTTCCAGCAAAGATTACCAGAAAGATGGGACATCATCAAGAACAGCGAGGTACCAAGACGTAGGACCTCCTAGACATATTTGGAGCGGCTGGAACTTCGATTTTCGAATCATTCAATGGGTGATACACCCAGACGAGCTGGCTCCCCTCTGAACATCTGCCAGACACAGGTGACACAGGTATGTTTTTCTGCCGGAGATTTTCCAGCCATGTTGGATGAAACGAACGAGGCTGCCCCTCCATAGCAGGAAACGAAACGAAGCATCACTGTGGAGCACCCGCCACGAGGTTTCACAGCCCTCACACGACCGTCCACGGAGCACAATTTTGTGAACTTGAATCTCTTTGCGACGGACGCCTGGATCGAAAGGGGCAGACTGCTGGAATGCTGTTTTCGTTTTCGAAAAATGGGCAGCTTAACAAACCACACCAGATGTTTCTAGCAGCAAAGATGAAGATATTCATATTCAACGATTACCTGCATCGGTGAATGTCCGATGTCCGTAATGCTCCCAGCCATGAAAAGTATTCTGCAGCGGGGATTGTCGGGACGTTCCCTGTTTGTTTGAAACCTGTTCAACACTTTGGTACCTGATCTGCACCACGTTTTTTTTGTGGGAAAGCAACCTTTTGTTCTTGGAGCATGATTGGCCACACGGTATGTGTATCAATGTACAACCGGTGACCATCAACGATCCAACCCTGGTTCAGCCTTGTCAGCAAGCGCGATACGCGATTCGCGATTCGCGATGATGAAATCGAGATATTCAGTAGCCATAGGATCCATGGTGCTGGTATATATGCTAACATGACTGGGGTATATTGATGGTATCCATGGAGCACCATATATAACAGCACCATGGATCCGTCATGGGGTACAAGTCAGAACTCCGGACCATGAAATCCACCAATTCACCTGGTGCCGCCCAGGAAAACATACCGTCTGGTTGCAAGGTGGGGTGCATTTGTTCTGTGATGGCGCACGCGAAATCCGCAAAGATTTGAGCAATCCATCTATATCCTCCCAAGATCCAGGATTCAAAGAATCCCTCATTGGAGTTGGGATGATGATGGTTTATTGTAGTCATGATCATCTCCACATTCTTTCCGATGTGTTTCGGCTCAGGCGGTATTATAATGAACCCCCCTCTATCCCCCCCAATCTTTCCATAGCTTTGCTGCTCATGTTCAGATGGTGGCTGCTCCTCTCTTTGGGGATTAACGGCAGCGCCAGCCCAGCCAGCCCTACCTGTGATGTGGTGGATCTCATGCAACATCGGCAACGAAACCATCGGGAGGTCAACGAAACGCTGAAACTCCAGCAAGAGGCACAAGGCCAGGACCATCAGGAGGTAAAGGAAATGCTGAACCTCCAGCAAGAGGCACAAGGCCAGGCACGAGGCCAGGACCATCAGCAAGAGGCACAAGGCCAGCAAGGCCAGGACCATCAGCAAGAGGCACAAGGCCAGCAAGGCCAGGACCATCAGCAAGAGGCACAAGGCCAGCAAGGCCAGGACCATCAGCAAGAGGCACAAGGCCAGGACCGTCAGCAAGAGGCACAAGGCCAGGACCGTCAGCAAGAGGCACAAGGCCAGTCAGAGAGGCACAAGGGACCATCAGCAAGAGGCACAAGGCCATCAGAAAGGCCAGGACCATCAGCAAGAGGCACAAGCCAGCAAGGCCAGGACCATCAGCAAGAGGCACAAGGCCAGCAAGGCCAGGACCATCACAAGAGGCCAGAGCCAAAGGCCAGGACCATCACAAGAGCACGCCAGCAAGGCCAGGACCATCAGCAAGAGGCACAAGGCCAGCAAGGCCAGGACCATCAGCAAGAGGCACAAGGCCAGCAAGGCCAGGACCATCAGCAAGAGGCGCAAGGCCAGCAAGGCCAGGACCATCAGCAAGAGGCACAAGGCCAGCAAGGCCAGGACCATCAGCAAGAGGCACAAGGCCAGCAAGGCCAGGACCATCAGCAAGAGGCACAAGGCCAGCAAGGCCAGGACCATCAGCAAGAGGCACGCCAGCAAGGCCAGGACCATCAGCAAGAGGCACAAGGCCAGAAAGGCCAGGACCATCAGCAAGAGGCACGCCAGCAAGGCCAGGACCATCAGCAAGAGGCACAAGGCCAGCAAGGCCAGGACCATCAGCAAGAGGCACAAGGCCAGCAAGGCCAGGACCATCAGCAAGAGGCACAAGGCCAGCAAGGCCAGGACCATCAGCAAGAGGCGCAAGGCCAGCAAGGCCAGGACCATCAGCAAGAGGCACAAGGCCAGCAAGGCCAGGACCATCAGCAAGAGGCACAAGGCCAGCAAGGCCAGGACCATCAGCAAGAGGCACAAGGCCAGCAAGGCCAGGACCATCAGCAAGAGGCACAAGGCCAGCAAGGCCAGGACCATCAGAAAGAGGCACAAGGCCAGCAAGGCCAGGACCATCAGCAAGAGGCACAAGGCCAGCAAGGCCAGGACCATCAGCAAGAGGCACAAGGCCAGCAAGGCCAGGACCAAGGCCAGCAAGGCCAGAACCATCAGCAAGAGGCACAAGGCCAGCAAGGCCAGGACCATCAGCAAGAGGCACAAGGGCAGCAAGGCCAGGACCGTCAGCAAGAGGCACAAGGCCAGCAAGGCCAGGACCATCAGCAAGAGGCACGCCAGCAAGGCCAGGACCATCGCAAGAGGCCGCCAGCAAGGCCAGGACCATCAGCAAGAGGCACAAGGCCAGCAAGGCCAGGACCATCAGCAAGAGGCACAAGGCCAGCAAGGCCAGGACCATCGGGAGGTCAACGAAACGATGAGCCTCCAGAAAGCGGAACAAGGCCAGGACCATCAGCAAGAGGCACAAGGCCAGCAAGGCCAGGACCATCAGCAAGAGGCACAAGGCCAGCAAGGCCAGGACCATCAGCAAGAGGCGCAAGGCCAGCAAGGCCAGGACCATCAGCAAGAGGCACAAGGCCAGCAAGGCCAGGACCATCAGCAAGAGGCACAAGGCCAGCAAGGCCAGGACCATCAGCAAGAGGCACAAGGCCAGCAAGGCCAGGACCATCAGCAAGAGGCACAAGGCCAGGACCGTCAGCAAGAGGCACAAGGCCAGGACCGTCAGCAAGAGGCACAAGGCCACGACCATCAGCAAGAGGCACAAGGCCAGCAAGGCCAGGACCATCAGCAAGAGGCACAAGGCCAACAAGGCCAGGACCATCAGCAAGAGGCACAAGGCCAGCAAGGCCAGGACCATCAGCAAGAGGCACAAGGCCAGCAAGGCCAGGACCATCAGCAAGAGGCACAAGGCCAGCAAGGCCAGGACCATCAGCAAGAGGCACAAGGCCAGCAAGGCCAGGACCATCAGCAAGAGGCACAAGGCCAGCAAGGCCAGGACCATCAGGCAGAGGCGCAAAGGCCAGCAAGGGTCAGGACCATTCGCAAGGGGGAGAAGAGCACAAGGCCAGCAAGGCCGAGGAACCATCAGCAAGAGGCACCAAGGCATCAAAGGCAGGACCTCACAGCAAGAGGCCCAAGGCCATCAGGCCAGGACCATCAAGCCAGAGGCACAAGGCCAGCAAAGGCAGGGACCATCAAGCAGAGGGTCACAAGGCAGCAAGGGGCCGAGGACTCATCAGCAAGAGGCCCAAAGGCCAGCAAGGCCAGGACCGATCAGAAAGAGGGGCGGCAAGGCCAGCACCATCAGCAAGAGGCACGCCAGCAAGGCCAGGACCATCAGCAAGAGGCACAAGGCCAGCAAGGCCAGGACCATCAGCAAGAGGCACAAGGCCAGCAAGGCCAGGACCATCAGCAAGAGGCGCAAGGCCAGCACCATCAGCAAGAGGCACGCCAGCAAGGCCAGGACCATCAGCAAGAGGCACAAGGCCAGCAAGGCCAGGACCATCAGCAAGAGGCACAAGGCCAGCAAGGCCAGGACCATCAGCAAGAGGCACAAGGCCAGCAAGGCCAGGACCATCAGCAAGAGGCACAAGGCCAGCAAGGCCAGGACCATCAGCAAGAGGCACAAGGCCAGCAAGGCCAGGACCATCAGCAACAGGCACAAGGCCAGCAAGGCCAGGACCATCAGCAAGAGGCGCAAGGCCAGCAAGGCCAGGACCATCAGCAAGAGGCACAAGGCCAGCAAGGCCAGGACCATCAGCAAGAGGCACAAGGCCAAGAGCATAGGGAGGTCAACAGAACGATGAGCCTCCAGCAAGCGGAACAAGGCAGCGAGGCCGGAGCCAGCGAGGCTCAAGGGATTCATGTTTGGAACCATACCGCCACTGCGGCCTTGCAAGAGCTGGCCCGCAAACTGCTGCAGGCGAAGCAGGAATGCTTGCGATCGGGCCTAGACTGTTTGCCCACTCTGAAACAGGCGCTGGATTGCAAACTGTAAGGGATGTTGACATAAGAAAGGCAGCTTAGATTAGGCGACTGAGAAATGACTGACCTCCAAGAAACATTAGGGGTTGATTTAAAGTAGAGGACTAGTATCCACAAATTCCACAACTTCCACAATTATGGACGGTTTATCATCACGTTCTCTACCCAAAAATGCCAAATTCTTGGGGTAAACTGGGGTCCAGTTTTTTGACTTTTCGGAGCTGGGCCCGTTCGGCTCCGGCTCGCCCTGAGATCCGCTATCGGGTGTGGCCCTTTGTGCAGAATCTGCTGGGGAAGCAGTATCAAGGTTTTGATCCCGTGGATTTTCATCCACAGGTGGCGAAGGTGCGCCTGGTCATGGTTTTTGGACCTGGGAACTTCCAAATCATGGGCTTCTTCATCCCGGCCCTATGATAACAGCTATTGGAACAGATCTATTTGGCTATTTGCAGAGTGAAGTAAGTGAAGTATGAGAATTCGGCCATGAAGTATGAGATTTCCATGTTGTTGTTTCTAAATGCCACATTGTTGGGTTACAGAATCTTTCACCATGTTTTTTTTCAAGTTGGGTTCCCAGGCGCAGATGCGATGCAGTGCCGAAGATAATCATAACATGGTGTACATGCACGTGTGGAAAGCTGCTGGCTATTCGGTGATGGAAAACCTCAAAGCCATTGGCTCCAACTATGAGGCCGGACCACCAGCATCCACCATTTTTTCTTCAAAAAATGGTAGGACCACCAGCATCCACCAGTTTTTTTTTAAGTTATGGTTTTTCGATGGGGAAAAGAAGGGATCGACTTCCTGGATGCGAAATTCCGATGTTTTTTTTAGGTGGTGGATTCCTTTGAGGATGACTTCAATTGGTGTGAAAACATCAACCTGGTGCCGCGGCCGTTGGGCCCGGGGCTTCGGTGGGGACACTTCTTTGGGGTCAAAATCCTTGGCACACCGGGTGAATCGACGATCCGACGATGATGTTCCGTTTGCTGGTGAAGTGCGTTTGATACCATTGGTAATTTAACATAGCTATTGAAAATGGTGATTTATAGTGGATTTACCCATTGATAGCATGGTGGATCTTTCCAGTTCGTTATGTGGCTGTTTACCAGACACTACCATTGGTTGGATTCAATTCCGTTTGGTTGTTGGTCTTAAGTTGCATGACGCCTTGCGGGAAACGCATCGCTGTACGTTGCTTCCGAACGCTGGTCTCCTCTGGAAATCGGATTTTTGTACATCACCATTGCGCATAACACTACCATTGGATCCCGCAATGGTTCCTTTCAAAAATCTAAAAATGGCATTTGTTGGTGAGATCCGAAATTGATTCATCCAATTATTCATCCTTATTAGCCTTTGATCATTTACCATAGCTATGGGAACATCATGGAAAACCACTATTAAGATCATAGGTAAACCACATCCATAAACCATATGGAAAAAACCCGGGATCCATTTTCTATAGCTACTCGTATGTTGAACAACCTGAGGGTAACTTTGATGAACCGATAAAACCATGGTATTTTCCATGGGAAAAACCATCCTGGTCTGCGTTAAACGATGTGGAGAAGCCACCACGAATCATGCATCATTTGATTCGAACGGGAAACCATTGATGTTCCACATCTATGCTATAGTTTACCCTAGGGTAACATAGTGAACTTGTGAACTGTGTACCAAGAACTGAGCGATTTGGGGCACCCAGACATAGACGTCCTTTTCCCGTTGATAAACATTTCATCCCCATTTATCCCATAGGTGATAATAGATACTTGATAGATACAGTTCAACAGTTCTAATATCTTTCAATCACCATTATCACCTAACTATCCCATAAGTTTTCCAACTATTATCTGATAAATCTACCAAGCCACGTTTTTTTTTTAACAGGCCCCCTTTTCCCAAGGACTCCATGAAACATCGCACGGTCTTCACCTTCGTCCGAGAGCCCTTGGGGCGCTTCATCTCGGGCTATGCGGAGATCGATCGGATCTATTTGGGCCCACGCTACGAGCTGCTCTGGGATGACGATGGTGAGGATGGTGAGCTAAGTACTTATATCATCTTATATCTGGGATATATAACTGAGATGTATAAGTATATAAGTGAGCTAAGTATCTGGGATATATAACTTATAAGCCTATATTTCTTATGAAATGTATAATCCCACTATTCAAACCAGTTATAACTCATAAATTAAATTAATGGCCATACTGTTCAAAAGCCTTAAATTTTGTTAGCGAAGTTGGTGAACAGGTTTGTCCAATAACTATGGTTGATTGGTGATGCATGGAACTAGTTCATGGGATGAACTCAAAACTGGTTGGTTGATGAAAGGGGATTATACTACCCTTTATACATTGGGGATTACTTCATAATCCAAGAACGGGGAATCCCAATGTTCATAAACCATGGTTTATGAACATTGGGGGGATATTCCCCCAAGAGTCATGATTTAAACAGCCGTGGATGGCAACGCGAAATCCGGTTATCATCAGTTGATAGGTCGGCGGTTTTTACATCCCATGAAACCCTCTGGTAAACAGCCACATAACGAACTGGAAAGATCCACCATGCTATTCATGGGTAAATCAACTATAAATAGGTTGAAATACCCATCCAAAATGGGTGGTTCTCAGTTACGGATTCGGCCCAACGGCCCATCATGGCCCATCCACCGTACTGGCAGTGCGCGAATGACATGGTGACTTCGAGAAAAGTGGGGGGGGGTAATGATTAGCCTCTGGTAATTGAACATACTAACATAGCGAACTGGAAAATGATCAAAGAAATCGTTGATTTAGCTATTATTTTGATGGTGGATCTTTCCAGTTAGCTTTTTCTATGTTTACCAGGCCGGGTTTGTTGTGGGGATTACGGGGAAATTCATGGGGAGAACCTGGATCAAATATAATGACAAAGAGCCCAGGCACTGCACTGGTCGCCTTTTTTGGGCTTAGTGAATGATGGTAATTGATCCGAATATTTATCCAGACATACTGAAAATACATATATCATATAGCCATATTTCGGGATAGTCATACTAGCATTGATAGGGAATCATGATAGTGGGATGGCCACTCATTTATTTATCATCCATCCCTCCAATCTCAGATAGATTACTATCTGGATAAATGACAATAATTCAGATAATAATCCAACAATCCATCAATTCCAGATCGATGGGTTTAAGTATGAATGACCCCCTAGATAGTTAAGTTGACCTATAATCTGGGTAATGTTTAAGTTTAAATGGAGGATAAAACTCTAGGATAATTGACAGCTACCCAGAGTTCTGAACTAAAACTTAATCGAATACCATGGTTCATTACTGATTTCATCTGGAAAAGCAGTTCAATACTATGGACCACAATACCATAATACATCATCATATGATCATTAATCATAATACCATAATACTAGATTTTGCCATATCATTGACAATACTGGTTGGTGGTTTGGACCATTTTTTATTTTTGTTGGGAATAATGATCCCAACTGACTAATATTTTTCAGAGTGGTTGAAACCACCAACCAGCAATACCATCATACTACGGTGGATGGAAGAATTCCTGCACCACTTGATAGGTGGTTTATCCTACTATTTATAGGGTTTCAAGCATCCAAGATGGTGCAGGATTTCGCAACCATCCACAGTATCAACCAATTTCTCACAACTACTAACCACTACTATGGCTTAACTAACCAAGAAAAAATCTCCTCTTATTAACCAACTAACCATTATTAACCATTATCAACAGTACTAACCATTAATATCCAACCATTAGTCACCATTCATCACCACGATGAACCATGATTAATCCCCATGAAACATGGTGATTTTGGTATAGGAAACCATGATTAACCATTATTAATTATAGTAACTAACCATTATTAACCATTATTTATTAACCATTATTAACCATTATTAACCACATATTAACCACATATTAACCATATATTAGCCATATATTAGCCATATATTAATATTAACCATATATTAACCATATATTAGCCATATATTAGCCATATATTAGCCATATATTAACCATTTATTAACCATCCAATTCCCCGAGGGCGGCCCAGCTCGCTCACCGAGGTTTTTTCATCAAGCGGAGGAGGGCACCATGAAACGTGCCCAGCTCTTCGCTGAGCGCTTCTTCCAGGACGGCTTGATCTTCAACGGCCACGTGAAGCCGCAGAGCGATCCTTGGGTATCGGTGATCGCTGGGTGCCCATGGCGCGGTGCTTGGAAACCATGGGGGGAGATTTCCACGAAAAGTATGGAAAATGCGGGGGTTTCATTGGAAAATCCGTTCTTTTGATCGGAAATCTCCACGAAAAATGGAGGGTTGAACGGGAACATACACGATAATTTGAGGATTCAATGGGAACAATCACATGGACAAATGGAGGATTTTGCAGCAAACCAGATAGAATTACCGGGTGAACTTTTTCAGAACATGTGGAGCTCCGTCCTGGAACATTCACCGAGCCACAGTTCACTGCCAGAGGGTAGCGGTTCGACGTGGCATTAAAGCAACAGGTCACCACCAGGATGGTTCTTTTTGGGCACATTTCCCAGGGCGGGATGTACAGTTCATTTGGGTTTGGCTTAGGGTTTGTTGAGGGTTGGTTTAGGGGTATGTCTATAGGGTTGTTTAGGGGTCATTTCGGTTCAGATTAGGGTTGACTTGGGGCTGTGGCTCAACGCTTAAATCCTTCAATTTACGAAGAACATGTTTGAAACATGATTCAAAATATTCAAAAGGTAGCTTCAGCACCGTCTGGATGCAAACATGTCAGGAGACGTAGGTTATTTTAAAACATCGCCCATAATCCATCGAATTCACCAAGTTCTGTCTTAATGCCGTGGAATCCCCGATGTTTTCACGTCAGGAATACTTCGCTCCCTTCTCCCAAAGCTGCCGCCTGCCCATCAACTTCGTGGGCAAGATCGAAAATCTGGCAGAGGACTGGAAGAACTTGTTGGAATCCCAATCCTGCATCACGGCCAAGATACCTTACAACAATTCCTTGGGTCAGCATCCCACGGATGAAAAGGAGAGAAAGGCCAGGGTAGTTTCGTTTTTTTCTTTTTTTTCCGACATTTTTGGTAGTTTGCTGTGGTTGAACAACATACAGTGATCCCTCAAAGAGATAGAACAGAGACTTAAAATCTGAGGTGTAATATAGACATGTCCTCCCCCTTTTCTGGACCCCAAGATCAATATTCTTCATCGATAGACATCCTTTTTCCACTGGCTGGTTGATTAATAGAGGGGTCCGTCCATTCAACAACCGGTAAGTGTTAATGTATTGTATACCAACCCGGCCCCTTTTCCCAAAGGGACACTATTGGTGACCATGGTTTTTTTCATCCTAAAAGTTGGAATGTAACCCCGAAAATTGTGTGGTGACACTTGCATCTTGTGCCATTAAAAGTAACACGGTTGATTGGTTATTACTTATTACAGGAAGTCATTCTAAGCACTATACCTGGGTTATCGAGGATTATAACATATTATAACCCATACTAGGGAAATCTATCAACCACCGAGTATTTCATGAGATGGGAAGCTTTGGCTTATGACTTTCAGTCCGATATCAGGCCCCGCTTTCAGGCCATGACCGACATGTTGGAGTCCGCTGCGAACAATGACACTGCACAGTTTTTGGTGCGCGACTGTGACAATATGACCGCGTCCTCAAATCATTTGCAGAGCCATGGCTGGGGCGGTCGATGGAGGTTTTAGAGAAAGCTATGAGCAAAAAATCCTTGTAACTCAACCATGGCTGCCATGGCTAAGCATCAAACATGGGGAAACACCAGCTCGATGGTTACTTGAATCCATCTATCTTTTGAGAGAGAAATGGGGAGATTTACCAATTGAACCAGCTATTCTTTGTTTGGTTGGAGGGTATCTAAGATTGGCCATTTTTACGATGGTTTTGTCTGACAATTCTCCATGTTTGGATGTTTGGTTTTTTTCACCGAAGGGTTCAAAGATATGGCACATATGGGTAAAGTTGAGTGACCTTGCAGTGACAGTCATCATCGTTTTAGCAGGGGGATCCCCAAAGATGGATGATAATTCGCTCCAACCATGGAGATTCACTGAGTTGGCAACAGCAAGGCCTTTGAAAGCTACATCCATGGGAATCTATATAGTCCATGTGGGAATCAGGGCGATTATACCTCCAGCAAACAGTAGAAATCCTGATTTTAGACGTGGATGTCTATATCTACGATTTTCAATAAGGTTAGATTACTATAGACTACAGTAGAGAATGCTCTTTAGTTTGACTTCTTTTTTGCAAGGCAAGGTTGGTGAGATTGAACATCCCATGCCAACAAATCCAATCATCATGGGGAAGCTCCTTTCCGAGCTGCCGAAGTGCTTTCCCAGCACGCCCCGGGTTGAACGTCAGCTCCAGGATTTGCTCGATTTTATTGATAAATATTGATACTATGGTTATAGGATGTTATAGGGGCCCCACCAACTTATAGGGCTTCAACTCCGTTCTCACATTTTTTCCAGGCTCACCCCAATATTTTTTAGGCCCTTGGTATTTCAAAAAGCGGCTCCCGTTGGTGAGGAATGTTCTGCTCAAGAAGGATTTCGCCTTTCTACGGGCTTTTTGCTGGATAAGCCTACCGGATTACGTGATGTTTGAGTACGACCTTCCCAAGCACTGCAATGATCCGGAAATGCTACAGGTGATAGAACTGACAAAGAAGCCGCCAATCATCTGATGATAGCAGTGTCCAATTAGCGTGCTTGTTGACGGTTGATGATAGGGTTATACCAGCTGCTCTTCCATGGAGACTATATGCTGCGCCTTCATGGAGACTATATGAGACTATGAAAAAAATAAGGAAAACGCATATGTATATATATATACATACACATATTCATATACATATACATATACATATATTACATATATATATATATGTATATATATATGATAATATATATATGTATATATACATACAGTTACACTCCAATAGGGAATCCCTATGAACCAACCGGATAAGTTATGTGAACTAGACACTGAGAGTTGGAGCATTCGTTTCACGAAATTCGCACCACGAAACGGAAGTCAATTCATTCTGTCGCCGAAAAAAGCAACCAGCGGATTGTGGAACGGAGGGCGTGTCTTGGGAGAAGCTGACATCCAGAAGTCTGAGGTTGCAGAACGCAACTGGGGATGGATCAAAACCTATGGAATACCATATTTTGGGGAGGATGAACAGGATGAATCGATGACCCATGAATCTCAGCGCTGCTCACCTCCCGCAGGTCCAACATAGCATCGTGGGGAGCAATGCAAACCCGTACCTTCCCGATGCCAACATCACACAGTGATAGCCCCAGAACTGGATGCGGAGCGGTGAAGAGTTTTTTGGTCACAGTGGTCGATCTGAAAATTCTGAAGCGATGTATGAAACACATGACATCACATGAGCCAACACTGTCGAATTTGGTGGATTTTTTGTATAGGAACATCCGGCTGATTACCAGCTTCTGATCGGGTGAACCAGGGATGTTGGTAATGTCATCCTTGTGCCTGGTTCCGTGTCCATGGGTGCTGGGAAATCAACGAACAATGGAAGTTGGTTCATTGGAAAAAGTATCGTTATGAAAATAGGTGGACAATCATCTTTAAATGGTAGAGAATCATTTTCTCAGCGGTGGATCATCATCTATAGGGAAAAATCATCGAAGTGTAGCCGGTAGAATTTCCAGCCTGATGTGGTGGAGGACACCGTTTCTGGTAGTCCAACTCGGGCGGTTTCAACATCGCGAACATCCATGGATCATCACCCATAGGATCCATGGTGCTGCTATATATGGTGTGCCATGGATTCCATCAATATACCCCAGTCATGTTAGCATATATAGCAGCACCATGGATCCATCATGGGTCATGGGCTGGATGAAAGCCTGGTGTTTCTCCTACGGATGACTATCCCTGATCCCCATCACAAGGTGATCTCCTGATGGATTCATTTCGTGGTTCCCCCCTGAATTTTGTGGCTTCAATCTAGAACTTGTTCCACTTTTCGCTGATGAATTCAGGGTTGCCTTCTGGTGAAATCTGCCCAGTTTGAAACTGGGCCGAAATCCTCAGATTCCGCGACAATTTCGATGTAGCCACTCTCAGGTCGCAACCCATTCTGGCGGCAAACAAACCGGAGTTCATGCGCTTGGATGGGAACGGCCAGTGGCTCGTGCCGGAGGGGGCCAGGTTGTGGAGATGTTGAGCCAACTCTGGAAGTTCGAGGTCTCTGGTAAATTTAGCAGTTTGCCATGGAACATGAGCCATGAAATATAGATGAAATATAGATGAACTATAGATGATTTACTATGATTCACCTCATTATCTTAATGGTTTTCCATAGCTATTGCACAGACTACCAGAGGGTAATTTAACATCGCTAGAAAATCCGAAGCTTTTTGATGAGGAGAACCATGGGTTGATACAGGACAAGCATCTATATGGGATGGGAAAAGATTGACCGGCCGCGCCGTTGCATACAGACCATTCTAGTACCGGAACTCGGATGATTTGGGGGAAATCCCAATGAACCCGGGTCAATGAATTGGGGAGATTAGCCCATTGACCCTCCGATAAGTCCCAACTTTCAGCATCTGGGTGATGTCGCCAGGCTTCACAGGGGGGCCCTGTGCAAACCTGTGCGACCCGTGCGACCGGTGCCCAAGGTATTGTAATCGGGTCATCAATGGTTTGACCAGCTACATCGAGTTCGACTTTGGCACTGATATGTTGCAGCTCGACTGGCACTGGGGGGTGCAAGTTGGGAGATAGGTAAGATGAGATAGCTCGCACGTTTTCAGGCCAGGAATGGGAGGGTGAAATTTGGTGAAATTCATCGGAAGAACATCAGATTTAGATGATCTGGTTCTTCCAATATTGGATGGTTGGAATTAATTGTCGGTTCGAGCTGGAGAGTTGGAGAGTTAGATGATCAAGTTACACAACTTGGATGATCACAAAACGCGAAGCTGATTAGATTCATTGGTCAACATTGATGGTCGAAGAAACTTCTCTGACTCATGGATTGACTCCAAAATCGCCTATTTCACAATCGCACATGTTATTTTCACATATTTTCATGTATTTTCACCATTTTTTCCGTGATTTTGTATAATATGTTCCACCATTTTCCCTGGTTCATTATTTTTTCCCATGATTTTGTATAATATTTTCCACCATTTTTCTGGTTCACCATTTTTCCATGATTTTGTATAATATGTTCCACCATTTTTCTGGTTCATTATTATTTCCCATGATTTTGCATAATATTTTCCACCATTTTTCTGGTTCATTATTTTTTCCCATGATTTTGTATAATATTTTCCACCATTTTCCTGGTTCTTCATCATTTTCACATTTCAGGACATATCTATTTCCTGGTTGTTCAATTTTTTTCCTGGTTTCGTTGTTTTTTTACTCTCCAACTCACAATGACATGAAGAATCTCCGGATCTAACAACATCTCACAACGGGGTTTCGAGGATCGAAGAGGTGCAGACGGCGGGACGTTCTGGCGCAATTTTGCAATGGGCCTCTCGGTGATGGCTGGGATGCTGGGATGCTGGGATGCTGGGATGCTGGGATGCTGGGATGCTGGGATGGGAAACGATGACTGATTGGTGGTTTGTAACATGACTTTTATTTCCCCCAATACTGTAGTTGGGATGATGATCCAATCTGACTAATATTTTTCAGGGGGGTTGAAACCACCAACCAGATGATTTTCCCATCGAAACCTCCATTTTGGAGCGGGATTTCCCAGGCATGTTTGATGACACTGGGTAAATATCATGTAACTTGCGAGATTTGTTTTTGGACTTTGGATGGTGAAGAATAGCGTTTGGTAATTTCACGCAGTTATGGAACATGACCCATTTATAGATGATTTATGATGATTTATGGTGATTTTCCATAGATATGTTGAATTACCAGAGGGTAGTCATGAATTTCGAAGAAGTGGAGAGTTTATCATGCAAAAGTGGGAGATTTGGGGCGATGACTGGTGGATGACCATGCTTCAAGACCAAGCAGTTACCCCCTAAACAATGGTGGATCGGGGAGACACCATCAATGGCCCCAACAGATTGGGTTTGAGATAGTAGTTTGATATATTCCCTATATTCACATGGGTATGTCTGAAAATAGGGTACTCCAAATTTGCTGATTAATCATCATGCCCCATTCTCAGACTCACCCATGTTGAACATGACCCAAGCATTAAACAATTTATTCGCCAGATGGGTTGTGAGAAGAGTTGGAAACGCACTCCGCGCTATGTGGGATAAATAAATAAATAAATATATACTGTATATATATATATATACACCCTCTGGTTATGACTAACTTAGCCATGGTATAGATGGCCCTAATCGAAATAGATGGTTTACCGAACTTAAAAATGCTGGATCTTTCCATGGCGAACTGTTAGTCATAACCAGAGGGTATATATTTTCAATGAAGTTGCATTACTGAGCTTGGAAGGCAGTGATAACCCTTCAGATCCCAGAGTTTGAGGAGACAATTTGCGGTTGACAACCTTGGAAACTGATGGTGTCTGAACTAAAAAAAATGTTTTGTCTTTCAGAGTTTGGTAAATGTCCCATTTTGGGGATTTGTTTCACATCACTTGAAAAAGTATCTGTTGGAGAGTATATTATATTATATCCCCAATATTTGGGTGATGTTTTAGGACATTTACCAACCCCTGTCTTTTTAACCATCATCAACCATCATTTATTAACCATTATTCACCATCATTAACCACCAATTAACCACCATTAACCATCATTGACCACCATTAACCATCATTAACCACCATTGACAATCATTAACCACCAATTAACCATCATTAACCACCATGAACCATCATTAACCACCAATTAAACCACCATTTATTAACCATTGTTAACCATCATTAACCACCATCAACCATCATTAACCACCAATTCACCACCATTATCCATCATAAACCGCCATTAATGGTTACTAACCATAGGGGTCGTTTGAGCCATGGGTTTCTGAGGTGACTAGATATCGCTTGAGCTACACGCGCAATGGCTACACCTGGATCGATCTCCCAGAGGAATACGAGGCCGGCCGGCGCGGCAAAACAGGTAAGGAGGGACAGGTAAGGGACAGGTTGAACAGGGCCAACTGGATTTATGGCGCATCTATATCATATATGTAGATTTATATACATATATGGATTTATGATGATTTATGTATACAATTTAGGTGGGGTCATAACCCAACTTCTAAGTAAGTAGGGAAGCCCTTGTAGGGCCATTTGATTCAAGTATTTTTTGGGACGTCTATGCCATAATTCTCCAGATCTATGATCGGGGGACTCCTTATCCACGTCGACCTACAAACAGCCAACAGCAGTGTGTCTCACTTGGGACAAGCCTAAAAATGAGCCTCTTCGCAAGAGTCGTTATACACTATTCAGGCGCCTAATTTCTGTGGGGCATAGCACTGACACTTGGGGTTTCGTGCTTCGCTGATCACCTCATCTCCAGCCTCGCCAGCTTCGCCCTGGCAGGGCAATGTGGATTCGAAGCCTAGCTCCAGGGGTGGTGGTTGATCCCCCAAAAATCCCAAGAATTGAGCTGGAGGTAACTCATTTTCTGCCATTTTGGCAGCAAAGTTTTCATTGATTTTAGCCTCCAAAGACCTCCAACTTTTTTGGAGTCACGGGTGGGCTATTCCTATGGCACAATAGAAAATTGCTTGTGAATGGGAACGGGGCCTCCAAAGGACCATGGGATTCACTGGCGCCATTGGTTATGGGACCAACATCAGTGTTTCACAGTGTGATAC